CAAAAGATAAAAATAACGCTTAAAAGCTGGGTCCTTTGGATCTTTTAGACCAGCAAGTTGTTTAATTAGGAACATAAATATACCCTTTAATAAAATATATTCATGATATTTAAAAAAAATTAATCTTAATTTAAACCAATAATTTCATACTTTGACTTGCTCTGGATCTTTGTATGGAGCTTCAGGAGCATACACTCTAAGTACATCAGCGATGCAACAAGCAATTAAAAGCTGAACATCTTTACTAGCATGTTTTAGAAAATAATCTTCAGCCAAATGTAAAGTCAGTGGTATATATTGTTGATACATGCCTTCATCTTGACCCATTGCTTGAAGAGTGTGAGCCAAAGTCTAAAATATTGAATAAGTTTGAATACATTTAATAGACTTAAATTATAAATTAATATACTTTTAATCGACGAATAAGTTCATCTGGACCCAGATCATCCGTAACTGGACGACATCCAGCCGGATATATCATATCCTCCTGCATATTTGTGATAATTAGTTACTTTTTTCTGAAAAACATATTGATTTTGAGTTAATACACTTAGATAATAATATATTTATAGCTCAATTTTAAATATTATTTTAATTTAGGCAAGTATAACCTATAAGCTTAATATTTAGATCAAATTATGTTTGTTATGGAAAAAATACCTATAAATAACTATCAGTGAGATGTACTTTATAATTTGACCTTTAACACATCATGTAAACTATAATCTTTCAATTTGTTGTCAAAACAATTGCATGCTATTATTAAAATAAGAAATATAGGTATTTAATGTGAAAGGCAACGTTAGAATAATAAAGTAAACAAACCCCAGAAGATTTAAATCAAAGTACTAATTTTTATTTGATGTGAAATTTGTTTAGAACGATTCTAGTTACAAACAATGACTGTTTTTCGACCATGTTCGAAAAAAATAATAACAATTCCCATTACTTATGTTGGGACAAGTCATTGCATAAAACCGTGTTAATAAAACGTGATCCACGTATGTTTACCCATAAATCGTCATAACTAGGTAATAATAAGACATGATTGAAGTACTTACTTACAGAATGCAACCAGTCCCGCGCAAACAGCAGTATTGCATTGCCGAGCGTAAGCTTGTCTACGAGTGTCGGCTGGTGAAGCTGGTAAACAAGGATCAGCGGAATCAACGGGTTATCACATTGGTCACATCGTTGCACTGCTCATCGCCGAAATTGAGAATATCACTTAAAAGACAATCGAAACCAAAATACAGCGCGTACGTAAGTTCCGGCGACGACTCGTGTAACGTGTAATAACAATAATTTATCCAACTCTCAGTACGCGTACTGACTGTGTGAAAACTGAAAATGTAAATCACTAATGGGCAATGGTGGAGAATTAACCGTTAGGAGGGTTTGAGGGGACGGTGAAGAGGCGAGACAAATATGAAAAAAAATATTATATAAAAAGTAAAAAGTAAAAACCGCTAAGGGATGCGAATGCGATACAATAATAATAATATTGTAAATAGAACACGAACCAAAAAGAAAACACACAACATACGTAATAAACGGACTCCAAACTCCAAAGATGCTACTAAAGTCTGGCTGGTTCCGCAGTGTGACCACGTTATATGACAACAATTTACCAGCAAAAAATGTTTTTATTTATTTTTTAATTATTTCATTAAAAAACCACAGAACTTGTAATATTATATATAATTTAAAATACGTTTTTGCAATGACATGATCATAAAAAAGAGATAGAGATATTGAAGTATTATGAATATTATTACTCTCTTATTTCAGAAGCCATTACGAAAATATCTGTTTCGCATTATACGAATTTAAGATTTGTTAGCAACTTAATGCAATTTATGATACTGAGTACTGATCATAACAAAATAAATCCTAATAAACGTTTAGTCTATTTTGTAACTAGGTAATTATATTATTTAGTCCTAAAGTCTATTGTGCAGAAAATGAAATTAATATGTATAAATTTACAATTGCTGAATTTTTAGAATTATTAATAACTAAATTTAGAGGACATAACCTTAGAAATAATAATAAACATTATGACGCATACATTTTTTATATTCAGTAAAACAATTGTAATTGTAATGTACAACAGTATAGAATTTATATGATGAAATTACACATACAGACTGTTTAACAAAAAAAAAAAAAAAATTTAATCAATCATCTATCTTCTCTGTGTAGTACGTGTACGTACTTTTTCTTATAATTTTTATTCACCCTTCACAAACAATTATATGGGGCCGTCCACCCTTTGTCCAATACCTCCCTCCATAAGGTACTACCTACTTCTGGCCTTTACTCGCTTCAGCTATTTTTGTACATCATTCACTATTTTTTCTATCAATCTCTTCTTCAGTCTTCCATATCCACACCTTCAAAGTATTGAAAGAACATTAATGTTCATAGCCACTCTCATTTCAATTGTTAAGAGATTAAACATATGGGAACTTACATAGTGTAATTATGTTTTACTTTTTGTTGTCCTTTACGCATTGATAATAAAAGAGGAATATACCATAACAGTAGGTAATGTCAGTAAATAACCATATTAAAATAAATAATGATTACTCAAACATTTTTTAAGGATGCCTTATATGAAGATTAATTGGTTGGATAGATTTTAATTTGCAATAATTGTTGGCTTTTAATATTTTAACACCCATATTTACATCTAGTAGCAGCTATGGTCTATAATCTCTAATGCAAAATTCTTTGGTCTTTGAATATTGTTAAAAAAATATTTTTCGTCCATTCATCTGATATAATCTTTTCTATTAACATCTTATTAATTAGACCAATTACAATACAATGTACATTGCAAAAATTATTAAAATATAGTTTAGTCTTTTTGTTTTATTTAATCGTTGTGACCAATGAAAATACCATGTTTTATCGAGTGTGAAAATTTGATTTATCCAAAAGCAGTTGAAAAATATTCCTCCACACAATCAAATAGATAATTAGGACAACTAAAAAACAAAACAAAAAAATTATTTAAGAAACTTTATTATGTTTAATAATAACATACTATAGTATTTATAATAATTTGTAATTGTATAATATTAATTTAATGAAATGATAAGAAATATTTTATTGCTCAAAAATCATATAACTGCATAATGTAAAGAAATCTTCTCTACATTATGTGTTGCTGTTGCTGTCTTATTGTCTTAATATTGACATGATAACAAAATATGTTTTACGAACAGTTGTATAATATATTCTTTGGTGTTAATAACATGTATATTATAATGCTCAATAAATTTTCTGAATATAATAATAATTATACAAACATTAAAAAAAACCTACAAATAAGTTTTTAAGCAAAAATAAAAATATAACAGACCACAACCTACATAAACAATTGTCATTATCTAAATAATATAATATGTCATGTGAGTACAAATATACATAATGTCAAGTGTATATGACCGTATAAAGACATAATTTAAGTAGACCACTTAAATGAGATAATCACCCTTCCATTGTTAAATTAACATTTAATAACAAATAAAACTAATAACGACAATAGTGATGATTAATTTTGTAATTGTAAAAACTTATGATTTTATAACAAGTTTACTAAAAAAAAAACTACTAATAAAATAAAAATGTAAAATGTAAAATTTTGTTTTCATGAGCCTACCAATAATATTAATGTTTAAAATATACATTGGGAATGTAAGATGTTAACATAATATTATTAACACAATAACTGATTTTAACGTTTATACAACGTATCACAGAATATATATATCATTATAACATGACATTTTTGAAGTGAAATTAATCTTATCGTATATTTAGCATAATGCATTTCAATTTATAATATAACTATTATCTAAACAAATTGTGTGGAGTATAATGTTAACTAAAAAAAAAAAAAAATAATAAATGAAGAAATGTAATCGTAATATACTTGAAATAATAATTATTATTTCGCTTTACTAATTGATATTCATCTGGTTGAAATGGAAAAATATATGTTTAGCATACTTTTGAGCTTACATCATTATAAAAATCAGTTATATAGTTTGAAATTTATGATTCATTACTATAATTTTATATATTTTTTATTATTAATAAAATTAATACAATAAAAATAATCACTGTACTAAAAATACATAATTACAATTATTAATGAGTTTCTGACCATAATACCATTTGAAAAATAATAAGTGTAACATAGCATAATGTTGCATTTTCGTTAAGGTTTTAACTGTATATAATATAATAACAATATGAAATTAAAATAGTAATTAATATTACTTTTACATATACAGTTAAAATCTTATTTATTTAATTTTTCTTTAATTTAAAAATCTTTATAAATAAAATAATACAACACAACTATTTAAATATGGCTCTAACAAAATTAAAAATATAATGGGAATGTTAAATCATTAATTTAAAATTACTTTAGTTATTTATAGCTGACGTTATTAAAAAAGTCTTTAAATTTTTTTTTTATTATTAAATAATAATAAAACGTTTTGAAGCTATTAGGTTTATTTAACCAATTTATAATTTGTAGTGCAACTGTATTGTAAAAAAATGGATACCTATCACCAAAATTGAAGTTTTATTGTTAAAATTGTTATATAATTATTACATCTCATAAAAAAAAATTTTAACTTATATTTTTATATTTTAACTTTTTACTTAATAAATATGATAAATAAAAACGGATTCGGTCATGAAATTAATGTAATTAAAAAGAACAAATCTAATTACCAAATATTCAAATATAATTGAGTTGTTCTTTTTAATTTTTCATACTCTAGTAATGTAATTTTTTTGAGAATACTAGAATATTCATTTTAATTATTTGCCTAAATTTTGAGTCAAGTTATTTATTATAGAATAATATTCAAGTATCACATATAAACAAAAAAAAAAAATGAATCGGCATTTGATTTACTAAATTTTTTTATAAATATTATTAAATAATATAATTTAGATAACCTATAGAATTTAAATTTTAAAAGGATACAAGATTGAAAATTTTTTTAAATGATTTTTAATGGAAAAAAATTAAATATAATGGAAAAGTACAGTACAAAGACATGAGTATGAAAATATTGACTAGATAAACTAATTTGTCTCAATTTTAAGACTATTTGATTCATATAATTTTGTTCAACAAATTTTATTAAAACAAAAAGCTAACCTAAACCATATCACCACTAACTGACCAAATGACACATTGATTACATAAAACTTAATGGTAACATTCACCAAAGTTTTTCAAAATGGTAATTAGTAAATCCTGGGTTTTTACGTATATCCCAATACGTATTATTAAATTCCCAAGTTTCAATACCATTTCTAACAGTTTTTCTAAACCATTTGGGTTCATGTTGTTCTCCGGTTTCTTCTTTTTGTTTACGACGTTCACGTTGTAATTGCTCTAAATTGAGTTTCATAGATTCAGCACGATTCAAATCACCTTCCTCTAATAGTCTTTATAAAAAATTAATTAATTAAAAGCCAATTGACAATAATATGAAAATATGAAATATAATTCACAATAAAATTAATTTTTTTTAAATACATAGGTAAGTACCTTTGATCCGGCCGAAATCTAGTATCGGTTTTTGGTAACAACTTGGCTGTTTCTAAATCAAGCTCATTTAATTCCATTGCAAATCTCGTAAATCCATAGTATAACTCATAGTCTTCTGGCATGGTACCTATAGATAAAATAAATTTATAGATTTACTCAAATTAAAAATGTAGTTAATTTTATTCATATACCTGGTCTCCATATACATTTTGCAGACGGTGCAGCAGAAACTCCACAATACAGAGCTTCATTCCATTTACCAAATAGTTTACGTACAACTTTTCCTTCATTTTCATCAATTACAACACCGTGTATTTCATGACGTTTAGCAGAAAAATAACTAGCCTTTAACACAATATAAAAAATTGAACTATTTAAAATGAATAAATGAATAAATAAGTACATACACAAGTTTTTATAATTAAATATTAATGAAGATACTATTTATTCATTAAGAATAATTTAAAAAGATAAAAATAATGTAATTTTTTAACAAAAAATTACGTGTGATAATTCCAAGAAAACATACCTTCAAAAATGTTAATTTACATGTAATATTTTTATCCAAATTAGTAATTTTCAGTTCACCATATTGATCTACAGATCTTTGTCCACCAAATAAGTTATGAACACAAGTTGTCACCTTATTCCATCTATAATGATCTTTGCTATCCTGACATAGTAGCTGTACATTCACATACCCTTAAAAGTAAAATTAAATTATAGAATAAAATCAATTTTTTTCACACTTGACAAACCTGTTGGTTGAAATTCCATAGATTTCCCCCAAAATTTTGTCTTAATTCTAACATCTTGCCAAAATATAAAATTTTTTGATTCAGCATGACATACACTAACTGGTGGATGATGACTAACCTATAACAAAATTTAAAAATATCAATAAGAAAAAAAAAATATAAAAAAAATTGTATTTTTATTACTTGTTCTGCAATGAATTTGAAACCTTTATCATCTCGTATACATTCATAGGTCTCACCCAAAAGTGGGTTAAATGGTTTTGACCCAGCTCTATAATAACTGGATCCATAACTAGATACTGCAAATGCTGCTACATATACCATGCGTTCATAAACATCAGATTGTTCAGATGCTTTATCTAAAAGTTCACTGTATTCTAGTTCTTCGCACATACGCTATAAAAATAATTAATTAAAATATGTAAAATATACAAAAATACTACTAAACATTTAATTTAAAATTGATATAAATTAAAAAATAAACTATATTTAACACAGTTCACTTTTAAATTAAATCTTATAAATAAATATAAAAATTGACTCGGTATTTAAATAAACTTTAATTAAATTAAATTAAATCAACAAATGCATTAATTAATTTAAAACTACTATTAAAAATTGTTTTTATATTTATAAAAGAAAAATTATGTTTATCAAAATCATAAGTGTTTACCTGCAACATGTTAAGAGGTTCATTAAGTGCAACTGGCATGGAAACTTGGGAAAGATCTTTACCAATGTTTTTGCATAAGAGATTCCATAAGGACAATCCTTCAGTATCAGGTTTTGGACATGGTAGTTTAGTACGCCGTCCAGTCATATTCCTGATATCACCAGATCCTTCACAATCTACTATAAGAAATAATAACAATAATTATTTTCGTAGTTACAAACATTTAAAATAGTTAATAATAATGACGTTTATATTGTATTTTACTCAACTTACGCAAAAATATTTATCCGTCTTCCATTATAAAGATTTATTTTTGTTAACTCGTGTAAAATATTAATAATTTTAAAACGGGGAAATGTCTTATCAAAGCATATTTTGTGAAATGTAGAAAAAGGTGATTAGTATTTACTACTGACAAATGCATTGATTTTACTACTACAGGGGGGGAAATATAGTTTTGCCTGAACTTTTACCAGTGTGCAAACTTTAACAGAGTAGCCACTATCAAATTTGCGAAATATTTGATATTTTGCCAAACTTTCATGGTATAAATAAAACTGAAACTATTTTATATTATACGATAAGTAATAATTGATGTACTGAAAATAAATTTGGATAATTTAAGAAAATTATTATATAATTTTTTTATAAATGTTATTTCATGAAAATGTCTATATTTTTAACCTCCATAAGTACTTAACGAGTACACTAATTTAAATTCGTTATAGTTTTTTAAAATGTATAAAATAAATTAATATTTTTAGGACCAAGTTTAAACATTTATTTAAAAAACTATTAATAACATAGGTGTCATAGGTGTTATCTATTTTTAAACTTTTAATAAGCATTACACAATTATTAGACTTGATAAAATAAAAAACCTATACGCTTTTAGCGTTTACCAACCTAAATTTAAAGCATTGAAAGTAAAATTGTATAGTATGCAGTAAAAAATCATACAATAAAAGCATTCGTCAACCGAATCTATTTATCAAATATAATATAAGTACTGGTTTTATGATAGCTTAAGCTTTAATTAATTAATTAAATTGTTCATTCATGGGATTTTTGACTGGAATTTAAAAGGTAATAAAAGTGTTTATAAAACTTAAAATTCGTAATATAAATAAAACTCAAGTTATCATTCTAAATAATATTAAAGTTGAAATAGTTTAGTTTTAATTTTAAAAAATGCAGATCTTAGTAACAAATAAAAGCAATACGTAAAAATTACATATTTTATCATGAAAATTTTTTTATACAAAATAAACCCACCGAAACTATACACAGTAGAAACGTTTTAAAGTATCAACACTAAAATCTTTCATGGATTTTAATAATAGTTTTGAAAATAGTACCATAAAATTTTGTGACCAGTCATTGCCAAATGAACATTTGGTAATCACTGAAAAAAATCTAACATGAAAATTTAAGCAATAACCTCCACAAAGTCAGTAAGATAATTTTTTTTTTTGGAACAGCCGTAAATTAACCGGGAGAAATACGATATCAATTACCATGTTAAAATTCAAAAAAATGATCCAAACAACGGAAAATGTGATGATGTAAAAAACCTCTTAATTGAAGGTGAGTTATTTAATTTATAAATTAAAATTTTTAAATAAATATATAATAGGAATACCTAATGATATATATTTTTATTTAAATATTTAACTAAGATCGATAAAAATTATAAATCAAATATAACAAAACCAAACTACAAAATTAATTTAAATAATTTGTAAATATTTTTATTAAGTTTTTAATTTAAACTAACTTAGAAATATACAACGTATTAATACATATAAATATATTAATTAGGATGAAGGATTTTTTTTTTAATTAAAGTGTATTATGTACAATAATTACATTAATGCAGAATTATATGTAATAGTAGACGCCAATACATGGTTTTTAAATGAAAATTTAAAATTTTCTCCTAAACTAAAATAACGTATGAAATAACAGCAGATCGCGTAAAATTAGCATTAAACGAACTGAGTGAGCAAGAGATAAAGAAGAAACATCAATGAAAATGAATGGAAACAAAATTAAATAGTTGTTAATACTTCATACGTTTGTTTTAAAAAAAAAAAAACATTTTTTTTTGAAGGCCATAATTGTAAATATTAAGTTAAAAAGATAATAAATTTATTTTTTACAATTATTAGATATAGGTAGCGAGGATTATTTTTTTACAACTATAGACAAACTTATTAAATTATATACATAAATCATAGAAGGGTACTTGTTTGTTATCGCCCAGCCAGTACCCCATAAAAAATATATCGCCCTGCCACTCTTGTTTGTTATCGTTCTGCCGTATACAATTATCGTGTTTTACTCGTGATAGATAATCTATTTTAGGAAATATTTTGGAAATAACTACGTTAGAAAATAATTAATAAGAAATTGGTGGCCTCGGTCTTTTTGTCAAAATAGATGAAAGTTTATTTGTGCGTAGAAAAAATAACACTGGATGTATTATGCCATAGCAATGGATTTTCGGTGGAATATGTCGGGAAACCAACGCGTGTTTTATAATTAGTGTACCTGATCGATCGGAGAAAATATTGTTACCTATTATACAAAAGTATATAAAACCAGGTTCAATAATTATGTCAGCTTGTTGGAAAGCCTATAATAATTTGCAGCAAGTGATATTCAAACATAATACCGTTAACCACACTTATGATTTTGTTAATACGTACACAGGAGCATACACCCAAAATACCGAGAAGTTATGGGGTTCTGTAAAGTGGGATAATAAAAAGCGCCGTGGAACTGATAGAAATTGTTTGGAGTCCTATTTGGCTGAATTTATGTGGAGAACACGTCTCGGGGAACAAGATGCATTTCAAGCTATTTTAAATGACATTTTTGAGTTCTGGCCTCCTTTATAATTTAACACACTTAATTTTTAATTTATAATTATAATATATATTTTAAATTTGAATTTTATACTTTTATACTATTTTTAATAATATTAAATATTGAAATATTTTTGTATTTATAGTATAGTTTTTTTTTTTATTTATGGCGGGGTGATAAATTTTTTACGGAGTACTGGCGGGACAATAACAAACAAGTACCTTTAGTAATTATAGCTAATAAAAATATTTATAATGTGATAAGTGATAACTAATATAATATATAAATTATAATTGTACCGTGACTCTATTAGCACATTTTTTATTTTAGTAGATATTAGACATTTATCTACACATAATTTTTTTTTAGAAAATCAAGACTTTTTTCCTATCATCAATACCTAGTGGCTAGTGTATAGATTTCAGACCAGTAAAATGTATATTATAATTTATAATTAACTAAATATATAATGTATTGATTGAAGTCATATTATACGATTTCTATAAAATATTAAATTTAAGAGGACGTCACACCCGCATGTGTTATCTGTTGTCGGTTTTACACACGTACAATATAGTAAATTTTCGTTCACCTGTTTCAATAGTGTGCTTTTAGTTTTGATATTAGAGTAAATTGATATATTATTAAACTTTTAGATAAGAATATTATCTATGTTTTTTCATTGGTTTTTTATGATATCTTAATTTTTAAATGAGTTATGAGTATTTTCAAACATTTATATTTTTCAAACTCATAACTCATTTAAAAATTAAGATACCATAAAAAACCAATGAAAAAACATAGATAATATTCTTACCTAAAAGTTTAATAATATATCAATTCACTCTAATATCCAAACTAAAAGCACTATTGAAACTGGTGAACAAAAATTTACCATGTCGTAAGTATATAAGACGAAGAAAACACGTGCGGGTTCAACGCCCTCTTAATATACTTTACTCAACCAATGAATTAAATTACTATAAAATTATTATGATCACAATTCACCAACTAAGTAAAAATATTAAGAATTTGCATGTGTTTTTATGATTTTATAATAGCTAACATATTAAATTTTACATTCTGAAGAATCAATTTAACTTTTTATCAAATTAACTTGTGGACATTTTAAAAAAGTGATAAGGTTCACTAGATATATTCTTTCTTATAAAATTGATAATAGGTAAATTCACTATAATATTAAACAAAAGAGAGCTTAATGGGTTTTTTCAGAATGTACAATTTTCCAAATAAAACATATTTAAAGACAAAGAGAACGCATATGGGTAGCAAGGGTTAGGCAACCGTGTGTCACCCTGAACGAATTAACCAATCATTTGTTAACGAATTAACGAATCTTTATATCAACCATAGTTGAGCTATGTTTTTGAGCATAAGACCACAGCCGAATAATTATCTTCTTAATTTAAATAGTACTATAACTATTTAAATTTTTTTCCGGACATAATTTACCGAACTTAAATAAAATGTAGGAAATACAGAATATACTTTGTCCAATATACTGTTAAGTGCATTGCAAACCAGTAGTGTAATTTTGTAAAAATCTAAACTGAATGGGAAGGTAGAAAATAATTTATTTATCAAAACCAAAACCATAATCTAATTATTTGTTTTTACACAAGACTTAAAACTTATTTGATGGCTTCTTAGAAATCATAGGTACCTTTATTGTTAAATAATATTAAATACACAAGCATTCATTAAAAAAAAGTATTATAATTAGTTTGGAAAAATAATGTGATGATAATCTTGTAAAAATAACTCATGCAATAATATTATTAAATTATTTTTGTAAAATAGAAAAATAATAACTTTCATAATATGTCAAAATACTATACAGCAGGAGAAACGTGAAATAAGTACTTAGCAAAGTAATTTGAAGGAAAAAATATTTTTATAAGTTTATGTTAAATACATCCTTTTTAATTTTAAAAGATTTAAATTTTTCTACTTATCTTGGGGTGGGAAAAAATTATACTTTTTCCTAGCCAAAACTTCAGTGCATGCAAGTGTTCCCTTGTCATTCCACAACAAAAAAATTACGCCTCTTGCAAAAATCAAAAATTGATTAAATTAGTGTGGTTCGGTATTCTTGATAGAGCCAAAACCTAGTTTAGTAAACTACTATACTATTGAGGAACAGATAACTTGCCTAGGAATAGAAATTTGGAAAATAAGACTGAATACAGGAAAATTACTACATACTGAAACTTGAAATGTATGCATCCTTTTTGAATCTATTAACTTATTTACAGAAAAGTGAATAAAGTAAATAATTATTATAAAATTAGAATAGTAGCTTTGTAAGAAATTAGATGGAGGGAGATGTGAATAGAAATAATACAATTATTTGTAATGGAAATTACATTGACCAACAACAGACAATTACAAATGAGTTTTACACTGCATTAAAATATAATACCAGCTATAAAGGATTTTGAAATAATTGATCAATGAATTACTAAAATAACAATAGTCAATAGAGATACCATTTAGTAGTTTGATACAAGTTTCAATATTACATAGTTCATACAAATCAACCGATAAAACTTGAAAGACTCTTTTTATGATAAACTAGAGACCACATTGAATTCAAATTAACCTAAAAGATCAAAATTTTAATCAAGAAGTAAATTATAGTAAGTCAAATTTGAAGAATATTATAATGTATATAATGAAATAAACAATATAAAACTTAAACTTATAGATATGATAACTGGAAAGGTCTAATTATTAAGAGCAAGAGCACAATGTCTTTCAGTAGGAAAATTCATAGAACAAGGAACATCAAATGGAAGATAAACTAACTAAATCAATCATATTAAATTGATAAATTCAAAGTACAAAAACTGCATAAAAAATATTAAAATAATCAAAGAAGTTAATTTGAACTTGGATCATTATTTGGTTCACATTAAAATGACAGTAAAACTTAAAACTAGTTCAGCACATAAAAATTTGATTAAAATTAAATTAGTAAAATGAGGTGAAATTGAATGAACTAATGTAAAAAAAGTTAAATTTTAGAATTATAAATATATAATTATATAACTACCTAAAATAAAACTGTTGAGCACAAGTTTGATAAATATATATACATATATATTATATATTGCGCATGGCTTTGAGAAAGAGCACAAATAATCTAGTAAAACTTTTTAAAATAAATACATTCCTTATTTTTCTAAGAAATGAAAATTACAAACTATGAAATGACATTAATCCAACAGATCGTGTTTATGAAACTTTAAAGAAAATTAATTTAAAATAAAATTTACACTTAGTGAAGTAATACATTAGAATATCTACATTTATAAACATGGTCTACTAACTTATCACTAATAATTTAATCTCAAAACAACATTTGAATATCTGATTCCCAAATTTGCTAAAACTGAGTTGTATGACAATTAATTTTGTGTGTCAAATTCATGTAAGATAAATATCTGATTAATTAATTTTTAATAGTGAAGTAATACTAGTAATAGATTATATATTGAGTAATAATGTATTATGCCATATATTAATACAGTAGGACCTTGAAAGTTTTCAACTTATCCTCTTCTTCTTTCTTATCAAAAGATAAAGAGAAGTGCCATTTTTGAATTTTAATATATTAATACAACATACCAATTATAGTTTTGAACCTCGCAACATGCATACAACAATATAACACTAAAAGCATTTTAATCAAGAGGAAATAATAAACAGTTTATAACAACTAATAAACAAAAACAATCAATGAGTTTATCCAATAATACATTATCACATCATAAATTATAAAACCATTATTTATTATAACCACTTAACTTAAAAGTTATAAATAAATATTTGCATTGATAAAACATTGAATTTTTTTTTTTTTTTTATTAAGCGCTCATTATCTGATTTAGTTGTACATTAAATTAGATTAGTGAGGTCTCACCAGACGCGCACCCAGGATTTTTGTTTGAGGGGAGGGCTTAAATATTTTTTTTATTTTCTTTACACACAAGTAAACAATTACCATTCATTTTTGAATAATCATTTTTTTTTTATTATTATTATTACTAATATTACTATATACCTAATATATAATATGTTATTTTATGTATTAAATATTATCAAAAATTGATTTAAAATTTAATTTTCCTAGGTCCCTTTTCGTAAAGAAATTTTAGTACTTCAGATTCATTTATTTGTATTTCTCGATGTATGTATAGATTTGCCAAACCATTTAAATGTGACTGACCTATTGTGTTTCAGAGATATGTTTTGATTCGCCATAGTGTGGAAAACGATTTCTCAGCTATACTTGTACTTACTGGTAACGTCACAAATATTTTCAAAAGTATAAATACTGATTTAAATATTTTTAAATCGCATACATTTAAACCATCAATTGCTTTAGTGGTAAAATAAAGCAACAGTTTTTGAATTTTTCATATCACAATTCGAATTAGGCCTTTGTGATAAAAAAAACTCTTTTGCTGCATATCTTTTTTTTGTAAAAGTCGAAAAAAATTTTAAAACTTGAAATTTTATCTGTTGGATTATGTCCAGTTAGTATAAGACATTTAAAACTTGTAAGAAGATTTCTATGTTTTAAAAATCAATAAGAAAGACTATTAAGAAATGAATCAATCCAAGAAATAAAAATTGAACATCTATAATATTCTTCAATATTTTCTGATGGTGTATTACATTGCTTAGTTTGGTGTTTTGTTAGTCTAGGTATAGACCTAGTCAAGTCTAAATTAGAGACAACTTGTTGCGCTTCTAGAAATTATTTCTTAAATTCTTTTTCGGCATTACTTCTAAGTTGACAAAGAATAGACACTACACTTTCTACTTGATTAACTGCAGTAGAAAGATCTATATCTGTAGTTTGAATTATTTTACTTATTGGTAAAGTGTAAGCTAATAATTTTTCTGAATAAAGTAATGAAATAATAAATGTAGATTAATGAACACCATTTCAAAGTAAAAATAATTTCATCACAAGTATCTATTATTTGGTTTTGAAACTAACCAAACTAACCAACTAATTGGTTGGGTCCAACTAATATACGTTGAATTTTTCTCAAGTCACTAAATGTTGTTTTAAATTTGTGTCCCTTGAATCAATTTGTGTCCTAATCAATGTTCGAAAATTATTTTCATTGCACTCGGGTTCTTGTTTTGTGTTTAACATTTCATAATTTTGATGTGTCTAAATGGTAGATATTGTTGGCCATATAAAATAATTGTTTTTATTATCAGTTTAAGTTTTTCTTTCTTGATTTTCTAAAGTCTGTTGATGATGAACTTTATCAATTTGTTTATCAATCAATAATATTTTTCCCAATATGACATCCATAAAATGTTCAGCTTTTAAATTAGCTTCTTTATGATAAATTAAATTTCCATGTTTTTCGAATTTTTCCAAATTTGTTTTCCAATTATTATACCCTTTTTTAACAAATGTATGAAGTGATTGGTTGGAACTATAACCAGCCTTAAAAAGTGAAATTTCATAAAAAGCACTATCTTTAATTTTTGAATATGTTAGCCATTTGTATTTAGTTAACCAAAGTATATTAAATTTCCTATTTTGATTGCCTTCTTGTTGATTAGGAAAATTAAAATTATTATCCGAGACCCACACATTTTTTAAAACTTTAATTTTTTCTTTGTTGTTTAGTTTTTTATTTTTAAATAATGATATATTGTAAGAAGAAAAATTTTCATAATTACTGACAATATCAGATGTTGACGGTGAAGAAAGTAGTTCTTGGGGATCTTTGAGGGCAGTTCATTGATTGTTGGAATTTTTGATTTGATACTAAAATAGTTAAGTACAGTACTACCAGTACCAGCTGATTTACTTCGTTTTTGACTCAAATTTTTTCACACGTATGTATTCAACAAATTTGTCCCAGACTGAATTTTCCAAACGAAATTTTCATGCCACATGGCACAGACAGTCAACAGTTATAATTATTATTGTTATTGTAGTTTCCAATCAAAGTCTAACGTAATCGCTAGTACCTACCTATAAATCTACAAATAATTTTCAGCAAAATAAGCGATCGACAATTGCTAGAAACCTTATCACGTACTAATTGAACTATTAATATGTAACTAACATAATAATAAAACTTGGAAAAAAAATATCATCTTTCATATTGTTGTAATACTATATTTGTGATGATAATGTGGTATAATATAAAATTTAATGTAAAACTTATTTATTTATTTTTTTTTTTTTGGAGGGGGGAACTTCAACTCCAAAACCCCTTCCCCTACTGGGTGTGCCACAGGGTCTCACTGTATATATTTTTTTTATGTTATTAAATATATTTTAAAATAATAAAGATATTACTCACGTCCTTGTGGATTATTATACTCAGATGTGGCCCCATCACTGTTTTCTGAAGATATAGAACCATCTTCTGATGATAGAGATCCTGCTTCAGAAGATGTATCTGAGGTTTGAGTAACTACTTCACCAGCAATTAATTCATTTGTTACAGTTTCATTACAATCGTTCATTTTACCACCTTGATACTCTTCAGCATCGAAAAATACTTCTGAACCACTAACGCCAGAACTATATGATAATGATGAACTTAGTACCTAAAAAAATAATGATAAATAATATCATACCATTATTATAGTTTAATATTTCATTAAATCTATATTATAAAATCTTACGGGATCTGGAAAATTTGATGTATCTGAAGTAATATGAATATTATTTAATTTAGCACGAAGTTCACTATTTTGTTGAATGGCTTTACTTAAAGCTACTCGATAATTAGATAATTTGTCATCGGTTGCATCTCCAACAAAAACATGACTGCGTTCTTCACTAATTGCATCCATTATGCACTTAAAACTATTTTGAACTTACAGTACAATAATAAGTAAATATTTTAAACTATTGAGTATTTTATATTACAAACATATTATACTTACTATCTTTTGCTAAAATCACAAAATCTGTATAGAGTTGAAGATCACTAGGTGACGGATTAACAGTTAATGATGGATTGCTATTGGATAAATGTTGAGAAGCTATTCCAGTAGGCTAAAATAAAAAAAAAAATTTATGTCTGAAAATATGTTTGTATTTATTGTTATATTTACAAAACCAGACAAGTCTGTAACATCAACAGCTTTATTTGTTGATTGACTGATTGATTGATTCATATCAATTCCCCATCCAGCAATTGTACCACCCCAACTACCACCACCACTTTTTTTCTTACGTAAACGAAACCTAGTGCTCTTTTTTGTAACTGGAATTCCATCGAGTACACCAACCTATGATAAAAAAGCAAATAGTTATAACAAAATTAAATTTATTATAAATACAATAATAATAATATTAATAATTACATCATTATCAACTGATTCTAATTGATCAAGTATTCGATTTAAAGACTTTAAATTTTGTTCAACTTGTTTAATTTCTGAAGTTGCTGAATCTAATTGTGAACACCAGCCATTTAAACGTACATTTGGAGTACAGTTTTTAATCGATTCTACAGGAGATATTACTACATAATAATAAAAATAAAGAATATTATTTATTTATTGTATATATTAATATAAAATGTGCTACTCAAAAACAACAATGTTTAAAATATTATAAGTATACATTTATGATATTATTAAATTATATATTTATATTTACAAGTTGTTTTTTTTTGTAGTGGAGACTGTGACTGCTTTGTTTGACCAAAAGTTAAAACATGTTGTCTATAAAGACGATGTTGCTTTATTTCTTTTACCCATTCAGAAAATGCTTCAAATGTTTTTGCCTGTAACATTAAATAACATTTAGTTATGCAATTTAACATTAACCACAACATTTATAACTCAATATTGGTATTTGGATAGATAATTAAATGATAAAAACTTCTAGATTAATGAACACAGTAAGTTATACATTTTACAACTTTCTTTATTTTTATTTAATCACAAAATACTAATTTTGGAATTGGTTTAATGTCTTACTACCATAATTTTGGCAACCTACAAGATATAAAAAACATACTTGTTATTTTTTGTTTCAATAACCAATTATTTTCAACAATCGATATATCAAGTGTAGACCTAAGACCAACACCTTTTCAAAACAAATCATATCAATAATTTGAAAATAATACATAATATAAACAAAAAAATAAATATGATATAGACATCTGTGGAATTTTAATCCAGGTTCAGTAAACATTTTTATAAATTCATTTCTTTGTATAAATTCTCCATAGGATCATTTATTTAGTTATAATTTATAATATTTATCATTATAAATATTAAATTTTTAATTTTATAATATAGTTTATTATGTTGAAAAGACAAGAGAACTATTTTAGTCTTGAGTAATTTAACCTATAACTTATGTCATTTCTAACCCAGGATGGATCGAAATTTTTGACTGCCCCAGAAAATTTTATATATATAATCGCTCATTATCATACTTGAATTTAGAGAAAATAATATACATAGACAATAAAAAAGAATAAAAGCATTAGGTCTAAAAAAAAAAAAAAAAAATAATTGTGCTGTATTTATTATAGTATTAGTTGAATATTTAAATTAAATTAAAATATTAAAATATAAGTCCTCACTACCAAAATTGTTATTATAGCTAAAAATTTAAAATATACAATTCCTAACTTACTTTTTCTTAAATAATTTTAAATACCAGCCCTAAATGTAAAATAAATGAAAAATAGTTATAATACATTAATGTTTTGATAAATTGAAATCATTGTTTGCATGTGCATGATAACAATTGCAAAACATTCACAATATTAACAGTTATTGCTTATATTTAGTTTATGTTATACTAATGTAAAATATTTAATATTAATATTGAATATTCCTATAATTCTTTATAATGTTAGTTATGAAAGAAAAAAAAAATACAAGAAAGCTATATAAAAAAAACAATTCAAAATTAGTCTTTGCCACAGTGGAGTATACACATTAGCCACAAGCCCATTTACTAGTTAGTATGAGACCCATCAGAAATTAATTGATTTTTTAATAGTTTAACCTGTCTGTATGCCTAACCATATCATAAGCTGATCAAATTTAAAAATATAAATCTCAACATAAATCATAACAATTTTATAATGAATTGATTATTTAAAAAAAAAAGTTTATTTTTATAGAAAAATGTTGGAATAACATAATTCTTATCATATATAATTTACAGTCAGGTAAAACTTGAAATAAGTCAGCTTAGCCTTTTAACAGGATTATTTACTAATAAGTTTTAAGAAGACAAATGCATAAATGGATTAATATTTAAAGTGAATCACAAAAAAATTCTATTTTAAACGTATGTATTGACTTTTAAGACAATGATGAAGATAAATGTAAATCAAAACACAAATATTACAAAAAAAAAAATAAATATATTTCAAGCAAATTAAATATTATTAATTATAATATTTATTTTGATTCAAAATTTTCTAATTTATAATAATTTAAATCCCAGAGTAGTTTGTAAAATAATACATATTTTTTTTTCCTATCAATAATTAATTATAATTGATAATTATATTGTTTAAAAATAGTATTAAAATACCTTACCTTACATTTTTTACAATAATGATCATTATTCGCAGTAAATTTTAAGATAAAGTTCATGTGATTCATTTAATAATTATTATTTGAATAGTTTTACAAAACAATTTTAAATGATAAAAAGATAATTTGGAATTTTTAAACATAATATAAATATTAACAAGAAAAATACACGTTTGCTCAATTATTTATAATTTGTTTAACATTTTGAATGATTATAATTTAGTAATATACATAAAGTATAACAAATAAAGAACTTGAAAAACAAAAGTATAATTAAACAAGTAGTATTTATATTATTGTGATGGATTTCAACCCATAAAATAATTGTTCAATATTTAATATTATTTTTAAAAATACATTGCTAAAACATAGTAATTTAAATATGCTATTTAATAATTGCAGTAAAAATAAAATATAAAATTATTTTAAATATACAACCATTTCGACAAAACTAAAAAAAAGTTGGTTGATTTTTTCTAAACGTGCTGTTGTATAAAATATGTTCATTATATTTAGTTATAGTAGAAAGAGAGACAATGTCCTAGATTAATTTATAAAATAATGTATACTCTCTTACATATATATTTTTAAAATGTAATATTATCATTGGTTTTATTAAAAATTAAAGCAGAATGCATTTCAATTTAACTCTAGAAAATAAATTAGTTTCAATATTTTAATAGATTTTAGAGAATGACCTATTAAACATTTAACATACAACCTCACAATTTCACAAAACCCAAATGTTTTTAAAAATATTTCTTTTAAATAAATTAAAGTCATAGTAAAACGACATTTCTGAGAAAAAAATACTTTTTTTAAATATTTTCTATATTGTTTTTTTAAATTTTTATTCTTAAGTATGAAAAATTAAATTTTATACATATTCCAAATCAGAATAATTTGATTTTTATAAATCAAGTAGACAATCAATAGGAATGTAGTTTATTAATGTTATCAAATATTTTAATATTTATATAGTTTTATTGGAGTAGTGGACTAAAATTTTTACAACATATCCCTGTAGTCAATTATGCTCATCTAAACTTTAAAATAAACTTATTAGTAAAAACTCATAAAAACGCTTAAAATTAAATTTTTAGAAATCAAAGAAATTCATATGATTTTAATTTAGTAAAAATAATAAAAAATATATTATAGTTAAAATAACGAGTGTTTTGTTAATTAAATTATCCATTACTCATTAGTGTTAGCAATGTATGCTACGCCCTACAAGATAATATTCTATGTAATGCATAATAGGTACAATGTCTTATTCCCCACCATTTGGTATGATCATACAAAAAAGTATAGCAATATGATACATAATTGTTATTTTGATCAGTTAAATGAACTACTAAATTATTTCTTATCATACCAATACAGATAATATTACCTGCAGAAAATTAATATATATATATATATATATATATATATATATATATATTTATCCTAAATTAAATTAGATAGGTACCTTTTAAAATAAAAAATATGTAAGTACTCACTTTTAAATGGTAAATGAATTCTTCAGCATCAATGTCTAATCGTTTTCGTTGATATTTTGTAGATATTACAGATAGACCAATGTCAACTTGACCATGAATTTTACCTCTAGACATGTCTAATGGATTTTTTCCATATTTTAATATTCCTTTGTCCAATACAAAATAACGCTTAAATTTGATTTACAATTATTATTACAGTATACAATTAGATATAATAATTTAATAAAGCAACATTTCAAACCTTATGCCACCCTTTAAGTGGCCACTTTCGTTTCTTATGTAAATAACCTTTAAAGATGTCTGGTTTTTTGTCATACCTTTGTCCATCTTTTAAACCTTCAACTATCTCCCATTCTGTACCACGGCGTATAACTTTTTTAGAACCTATCAAAATAAAATTATACAAGTAGCCATTAAATAAATTTTCTTAGAATTAATGTAGATACCTATTGTAAGAAAATATTTTTTAAATTCTTAAATACTTTTTAAGTACTATTATATTAAATAATACAAATCAAAAAACTTTAATATCTTGAAAAAATATTTCTGTATCCACTCACTAAAATTATTACTTCTATCCTAAACTATTACCTGGTTCTCGTCCGAGTTTCCTTTTATGATAAATAAAACCGTCATCTTTTGATTCTACTGAAGGTGTATTGCTATCTACACTAGCATCCTGCATTCCAAATATCAGTATTAATTTCGAGAATTTATATAATTAAAAACAAATTTACCGAATCGGAGTTGGCAACGACAGTTCGTCTTTTGAAACTTAACTGAGGTGATTTTTTCTTTTCCATATCGCGAGGTACGGCTATGGAATTGGAACTGCTAGCCATCACTGTTTTTTCAATTTAATAATTAGATGTACTGACTATGAAAGGTTGTTGGTAAACATCTTTGCGCACTTGCTACCGCAGACTGCGCTGCCAAGGTTAGCAATTATATTTTTTTGAATAATAATAAGTATTATGATTGTAATTTGTGATTACGAATAAGGTAATAACAATTAGGTATTATTGCATGATTTTGTTATTAAGATAACAGCTGTTATTGTTCCAAAGTCTGATAAGATGAAATACAGTTGATAAGGAGCCGTTACGTGGAAGGAATGAAGGATTATTAAAAAACCACGACTAAAGATAGTGTGAACTATTAAAGTAGTAACTATATAGTTATCATAGTCAGGAGGAGGATGAAGGTTGTGAACTATAATGTGCGGTAATGGATAAAAAGAATTTTTTTTTGTAGTTTTGGTTATCAAAAATAGCTCTATTCAAATTAAATAAGTAACATAATTAATGTACGCATTTTTTATTAGACAAATAAAATGTAAATAATAATAAAATAAATTGTCATTTATTTAAATTGATAAGCTTATTTTCTTTTTCCTCTCTTTCCACCGCCTCTTCCTTGAGAATTTGGACTTTTCGAAGACATAGATTTTGCTTTTTGATTTTTTTGGTTTAATGCTGATTTCTTTTTGGCCAACATCCTTTTAGCTTGATTAGCCCTGATAGTAAATAAAATAAAAATATAATATTAAATTTATTTAAATGAATCATTTTATTATTATTATTCATATTAGGCACATAAACAATAACATAGCATTATAGTTAAGTTAACAAAATAGTAAAAATATAATGAATATAATATCACATGCATAAGATGATAAGATTTTGTATTTTTGTTAATGAATTAATGAGTAATTTTAAATATTTGTAAATATACACTTACTCATATCTGTACTTTTTAACACCAGATTTGCTTACATCTGTAAACTGGGAATCAAAGACAGAGCCTCCTTTCTTTTGTTTACTACTAGTAGATTTTGAAGAAAATTTACCACCTAGAAACATTTAAAAATATTTAATAAACGTATCTAAAATAAAAAACACTCCACAAACCTTGACCAAAGTCTGACATAGCACTCATTTTCTTAGGTTTCATTTTGTTTTTTGCACTTCTAGCTTGGAAATTAGCAACCCTTTGCATTTTTTTTTGATTTTCAATTTCTTCTTCTTCATTAACATCTTCTTCTTTATTTTTCTTTTTCTTTTTAATATTTTTCTCTATTTTGGCTGAAAAAGCTTCTCTTGACCTTTCTAAAAATACAGTACTTTTATAGTAATCAACATTTGTACAAATATAAATGGAATTTGAATTTCAAATACATGAAGCTATTAAACTAATAGTTTACTTTTAGCTTCTCCTCGTTCTTTTTGTGTTTGGAACCAGTCTCTTTTTTTTTCATCTTTTTTTTTAATAAGAGTACCAATACTAGTTTTTGCCATTTTTTCTGTTTTCTCAGCAAATTCTTCTGTTCTACTCATTTGCCGTTCTTCGTACTCTTCATGCATGATACATTTAACCTCATTTCTAAGTGAATCTACACGTTCTTTATATTTATCCAAAATTTCTAAAATGCATAAATAATTTTATAGTTTATAATAAGATTAAGAATAATATTATTATTAATAATAATAATGAATTATATATACCAATAGGAATAACACGATTTTTTACTGGATTCTTAGCTTTTCGTATCACTTCTTTTAGTACTTTACGGTCTTGTTCACTGGCAATAGAAACAGAAACACCAGACCTTCCTGCTCTGGCTGTTCTACCAACTCGATGAATATAATGTTCAACAGTTGGTGGCATAGTATAATTTATAACCTAAATATTTAATAATATAAAATATATAAATGTATATTTAATAAATTAACTTACAGCTTTCACTCCTCGAATGTCCAATCCACGAGCAGCAACATCTGTTGCAATTAACAAATCAAGTTCTTCGTCTTTAAATTGCCGTAATGCTTCCAATCTTTGAGGTTGAGATAAATTTCCATGTAATTCTCCAACCTAGTGTCATAATAATTTAAGTTATGAATCAATAATAATAACTAACATTGTATTACCTTAAGCCCAAAAAGTCCAAGTAAAATTTTTACTCTATGTGCATCAGCTTTAGTTCTTACAAATATCATGGTATGATCTCTAAATGTTCGACAAACTAATGCAGCTAATGTTGCATCTCGATCTTGTTCTTTTCCTTGGCGTAATCTAAAGTCAATAAAGAATATTTTTTAAATCATTAACTCAATTATGGCTTATAATTTAAATTTTGTTAGTATACCTTACAAATTCTTGTCTTAGATTAAAAGCAACATCTGTATTATTGTCTACAAATATTTTAACTGGTTTACTCAAAGAAACAGAAGCAAGGTCATTAACAGCATCAGTCATTGTAGCTGAAAATAGCATTGTCTGTCTGGTACGAGCACACATATTAATAATTTCTTTCATTTGGTCAGCAAAGTTTTCATCTAACATTCTATCAGCTTCATCTAATACTAATACTTCCAAATCTGACAAAGAAAATGATGGTGTATTTTGTAAATGGTCTAACAATCGACCAGGAGTCGCTATAACAATATCAGGGTTTTTACGTAAAATTGATTCCTGAAAACGAAAATAGTTATGAAAATAATAAATAAACATAACATAATATATGCATTTATCTTACTTGCACTTTGAGTTCTAAACCACCAACAGAAAGACCAACTTCAACTGTTGTAAACTGTGCAAGTTGTTTTGTAACTTGATACACTTGTACACCTAATTCTCGAGTTGGTACCAAAACTAAAACTCTAATACAAAACTACAATTAACTTTATATTAACTATTATACTGCCATTAATTTACCTAGTAATAGGAGTAAAACCTTTGGGCCTGTATAAAAGTCTTTCAAGAATGGGTAACATATAAGCCGCTGTTTTGCCAGTACCAGTAGCAGCACAACCACAAATATCTCTACCTAAGAGAGCCACTGGTATTGCAGCCGCCTGTATAGGTGTTGGATGAACATAGTTCAATGCACTTATGGCCTTCATCAAAGGCCTTGAAATGTTCATTTGATAAAAAGAAGCATTTTCTTCAAATGGAGGAGCATCTTCGAAAAATTCTTCTTCATCTTCAACAGTTATTTCATTTTTATTTTCTTCGACTTCTTTTTTTTTTTTATTTCTTTTACCAACCAACTTCTGTCTATCTTTGATACCATCTAAAAAATAAACAGACTATTAAAATCAAATTTATATTTAATATTATCAAATATCAATGGTTAGCACATAACCTTTTTTCAGTTCATCTTCAGACAACGAATCACAATCAGACTGTTCGTTATAATCTTCATGCTCTTCAGCAGTGACATCAGGTAGCTGAAAATAAGTTTATTAGTAACATTCAAAAAAATTAAAAATCACAAATGAGAACACTCACAAAAGACTTCACATATCTACGGGATTTTTCTATTTTTTCGTCAGTCCTATTGGTACCTTTACGTTTTATATATTTCTGTAAATCATCCCATGTGTCATGATTATACTCTGAAGCCACGGTCAAGAACTTGAATTCGTCATCGAAATACGTATCACCCTTGGTCTTATGTTTTTTCGGTTGATACTGAAAATGTGCATCATTGCATACTTTAACACTAAAGTACTTTAAAGTAAATTAAATAATTTGAAATTACTTCAACTTCGACATCGGAATCTGATGAGACATCCTCCACATCGTCTTGATCGCCGATCGTTTTTATCATGTCCCATTTTATTGTACACATTTTTTACTGATCACAAAGTATAAAATAGATTCTGCCTATTGAATATTATGTATAACGAAAATCAAAATAACAGAGTTTTATTTCAGAAATGTATTTGTCCTTACACTTACTCTTTAAAACGGTTTCATGGATTTGTTTAAAACAATTAAAACTTAAATTTACAATTTTATATGTCCAAAATTCTAATTTGTATTTTTGTATTTATAATATTTGTATTTTGTTGTTAAGAATTTCACATGTCACAAGAAAAGACATAACCTTTAAATGTACATATCGTGTGATAAAAATCATTAATTCGTGATAAAAACATTAAAATTTATAGGGCTTAACCAAAAGCGCGCGAACTTCAAATGTATATCGAATGAAACTATTTTTTGACTTGTGACATTTCCTAATACAACTTACAAGTATACAACCACAATATAGCCTTACAGAGGTAATATTTAAAGGAGTAGTCTATCAGACGGTGGAATTTGTTTCAGCCTTGTTTCCCTAAATTTTTATAAAATGATTAAATCCGGTGTTATGCTTATACTATGTTTGAATAAAAGTACTCAAATATTTTTATAAATACAACTAACCAAAGAAAAAAATTAAAAATGTACGCTAAAAACAACGATTAACTGATATTGCTTCGTTTTTATTATGACAACATTCGATAAAAAAAAATTACAGAAATTTATATTCACCAAAATTTCTACCAAAATAAATTGGTTATAAACGATTTTTATCAAAATTTCGTGCATAGAACAATGCTTGAATTTTACTTTAAAGACAAATTCTATTTATAATAATATAAGACATTCTCCTAATCAATAGGGCATGGACCATCTAAATACATATATTGACATAAAGTGATACATTTATGATATATATACTTAACTATTTTTTTATTTTTTTTTTATTTAAACTTTGTAATTACAATTAGTTTCAACAATTATTTAGTATAATATTATAATAGTTATATACAAAAAAAGAAAGAAAGAGAGAAAGAAAAAAAACAAAATAGTAACAATATACAATTAAATTAAAAATCCAGTATGGTTAAAGAAAAATAATATATTTAATATATTTTTTTGTTTATTTGAGAAAATGTTTATAATATTGAAAGGGATATTTGAGGAGTTCAAAAGGGACAGTAGGTGGTCACGATTTGTTGATAGGTTGGGACAGGTGAATAATAAGTGGCTGATATCACAGACCATTGGGTAATTGTGCAGTGTGCAGAGAGGGGAATCGTTCAGTGACAGTTTAAAAGAATTAGAAGGGAACTTGTGTGGCTAAACCGGAGGCGGGAGAACGATATAATACATTTCCTAGAAAGATTGAGATTGTGGAACCAGGGTAGTGTTGGGATGGTTGGAGAAATATTTCTATACCAGGTGGCAAAGTGAGGAGGGAGTGAGCCCCAGTGTTTGAGGCAAAGATCGGATGTGCAAGTCCTAAGTATGGGGATAAAGTCAGACCATGGAATTTATATTTAACTATTATAACATGGAACATGATTACCTATCATACTATTATATTGATAATTAAATACATAAAAAGATTAATTTCTTCGAAAAATAAACTATATCAATATCAATTAAAAAAATTCTGATCCAGCTGTCATGCTGATAATGTAAAAATACCTGTATTTTCTTAATTTTTCATTTTATTGATCATTTTGATGTATTGGCATTTATTCTTTTAATTCTCCTGAACTATCAACTGAAGTTAATTTACTACCATAAATTAATTTCAAAGTTTGAGATTGGAAATGATGAAATAAAATACATCATTGTAAAACCAATACATTCATTGTCTGGAATTGGTTTTATTATCTAGATTTTAAAATAAGGAATATTTTAATGTTAATTTTCTTAGATTAATTGCAAGTAAAAACCAAAAGAAAACTAATTGTATTATGTTGTATTGATTTAATTGAAGTGGTATTCTTTAAGACCATACATTTTAACAATTCCAACAGCTACTGCTTTTGACACATATTTTTTGAACTATTGCTTGTGTACATACTTAACACATTAAATTTCAAACATGATATGACATAAAAAATTACCTATTTTAATTTCATGCCAAATAAACAAATTTTTTTACTCAAAAATAAATAGTGTATTAATTAGCTATTTTTAAATTGAAGTCATCTAAGTTTGACTAAATCCATGTATTAGTTTTAGAGATACATTTTTAACTAGTTAACTTTATTTATTTAACTTAAATAAAATTTACCATAAAATAATTTACAAAAAATTAAAATTTATAAATAAACTGTTATTTATATCCCAAAGTAAATTTTTGAAGATTTTGATAAAAAAATGTGTGTATTTTAACTTTTAAGAATACAATCTTTGTGAATTTATTATATCAAAATATAAAATTTAATTTTTCATACATAACAAACTTATATTCAGTTACTATTGACAACATAAAAATAATTATACAATTGGAAATAATTTACATAAATAAATATTTTATATAATATACTTTTGAATGGCATCCATGAACCATGAAATATGAAAAGCTTTTAAATGTTTCATATTATACTTTATCAGTCTATTTGAATCTATTGTATATAATATAATGTTAGAAACATGAAACATCTGATCATTATTACGGCAATGGTATGGTATTATATTAGTAGGACAGTCTTCTGGATTTGGCATACGTATTAATAGTTTAGCTCCGAATTCGACAACAAGTTTTTTTAAATGTTCAAGTGTAAACTGATTCCAACCATTACTTCCACATATGTGTATGCTTATACCATCAAACAATTTTGGATACTATTTAAAAAAAAAAACAACAGGTAATAAAATATTTAAAAATGCACATAAATTTTGAAATTAATTGTCAAAAGTTTAAATGTGCATAAACCAGTTAGTTTTTAAGCCCTATTGTATATCTGTCAGCAATGCTACTGGTTAGTAGTAACTTTATAAAGTGCAAAAGTAAATTTGGAGAGGGGATTTTGGGTGTTGGAACACTTCTAACACTATCAACCATATTTATGCAAACAATTTATTTACTATATTATAATTTGTATTAGTTAAAAAATAAGTAGTTATATGATTCTACTTCATACTTGATATTATTAAAAAGATTAATCGCTACAGTTTATATTTTAATAATATAAAGTATGAAATAGAATCATAGAACATCATTGAAATTGTGAATTTAAAAAAAAAAAATTTAACTGATTATTTAATATAACCAGTACCATTACTTCATTAAAAATTAATAATTTAATAAGAGGAATCATAAAAAGAATAAAACTATCTTGTTACAATTTTAGATTTGAAAACTAATTGTCATACTTAAGTATTTCAATAGAATTAAATTCTTTAACAGTGTAAAATTAATTAAATTAGCTACATATTTACCAGTTTCTGTTTGCTTATTCGTGATATCTTTGGACCATTACAATCAGCAAAAAATGTTGTTCCACTAACTTCATATTTTTCACACTCCATAAGTTTATTTTTATCCAATGAATCAGAAATCCCTAATAAAAGAGTGATAAATTATAATTATGCAATTTATAATTTATTTTAGTACATTTTTAGATAATTACATACAAGTAAAGACAGAGAATTTATTAATTCAACAATAAAAACTTTTTTCTTGGGTAATCAATGAGTATTAATTTTATAGACGTAGTAAACATTTACTTTATACAAATAAAAATAAAAAAAATCTCTCAAGTCATTAATGTAGGTATTAGTTTTCTATAATTTTATAAAACCATCAAACATATTCAATTTTTGAGAATACAAAAATTAGTTTTTATTAATTGAATATTTAGTTATTATAATTTAGTATTTATAAGAGCTATAAAAAATTAAAGTATACTTACAATTTTCATTAATTATAAATAATCCATTTGCTATGCTAAATAAACATTCTAAATTTACATCACAAGTATTATTTTTTGTTTTTGATACAATCATGTGAGTAACTTGAGCAAATTTCTTTCCATCCCTTTAATTAACATAAATAAATAAATATATTTAAATTGAAACTATTATAAAAAATTAAATATAAATAATAATCAACATACAAAACATTTTGAACCAATTTAATATTGAACTGTTTACAAAATGTGTTCACAGTTGCACTTTTTAACGAAATATTATTTAAGACAATGACAATTTCATCTGATTTATAATTAATAAGGTCAATTTGTGGTGATATACATGAAACTTGATTTTCCATTAACTCAGACAACTTTTCTTTATTAAGACATCTAAAACATTTAAAAATTATTGATATATATATATAATAATTTGATTTACCTAAAATCTTTTGTAAACAATCTTAATTTAGTAGCCACAAATACTTTTAAATAATAACCTAACAATCTTTTAAATTACCTTACTTACTTAACAGGTGACTACAAAATATAATATATTATAAATAAAATTGATTCAAATATTTTTAGTAAATACATAAAACTTATAGTTTACATAAATATTTAAGCTTTAAAAAAAAAATGACAATAGTAAATAGTATATTAAATTAATTAGGTATTTATTAAAATTAAGATCAATTTTTACCTCGCATTATTTCCATACATATTTATAAAATTTGCATCAGCTCCATAATCAAGAATTGTTTTTGCTATTTCAAATTTACTATACTTAATAGCTGTATATAATGGGCTTTCATATTCAAAACCAGGAACATTTAAATATGCACCATACTTGATCAACTCTTTCACAATATCTAAATTCCCAGATTTTACAGCTTCATGCTTAAAATTTTATGAACATTGTTTTTATACTATAAGAATAAAATATTACATCAATCAAAATTAATACCATAGGTGTCCATCCAGCATTATCTTTGACATTAGGATTGAAACCATCTTCAAGCAATGAAATTACTAAACTTAATTTCCCCTAAGACAGTACAAAGAAATATAATTATAACTGTATTTAAAGTCATTCATTAAAATAAACCGTATGTTACTATAATTTTGTTGATGTTAAACTTGGGTTAACGTACAAAAAATATATCATAGGATAAAATTTTCATAAATTAAACATCAATAAATCAAAAAAGTAAAAATTCGTATAATAATATTTTAGTAAACTTAATCACTTATGACACTTGCCACATTTTGTGTAAAAGTGAAGATTTATAATAAATATTAATTTACAATATTTTTCAGTTAAGAACTTTTAATGGAAATTCTATGATTTTATTTTTACCTTGGCACAGGCTGAATGCAATTTCGTTTCTCCTTTACTATTTCTACTATACAAATGTTTGCTAACTTGTTTTGTAGATTCATTTAAAGCTTTGACTGAATTTTTCTAAAAGAAAATTGAAATTCATATGAATGAAATACTATTTATATATTTGCATTAATAAGTAATTAACATATCATTTTTGTAGTTGAAAAATCAATTATTAACATACCATAATAATTGAAATTTTAAAATTATTTTTAAAATCAAAAATATAATGTTAAGAACCATTGTGATTTAATAGTATACTATTAAACAAGATTAAATACAAAAATTGATCCATTTAAGTGTTTACACTCCTCATTTTTAAAAGTTATCAACTTTTTTCAATGTGAAAATGTTTTAATTTAATAGTTTAAAGCAAAATAATTTTACTAAATATATTTCTATATACAAGAATCAAATTTTGGATAAGTATAGTTATTTAAAAATAAAGAAAAGTTTAAATGATTCAATTACTTTAGTATTCTAACAACTATCTATACTCTATTCCAAATAAGTTTTGTCAAAATCTGATAAAAATACATTAAGTAACCACATATACAGTTAATCACTGCAGTACAACTATTCCAATGGTTATACAAATAAGACAGAATTATTTGAAATAAAGTATACACTCGCCAGATATTAAAAGCATGATTGGGAGGTGACTGGTTTTGCATCCATTATACATTGTTGATTTCCAAATACTGATTGGTTAACCAAACTTCTCTCTACCATCTATTATGGTGAGTGATGTGGTGGAGGAAATTTTTTCGTATGCACAACTGTCAAGTTTTTAATGTGTGGCAAGTATAGTATACATTTTCTAAGTTTAATAAAGTAAAGCAATTTTTCAGCAGACATGGATTGTCAAAAACATAAAATATTGATAACAAAAATCAAAATTTTTGATAGGTGTGGTCTGACCAATACGGAAAAAAATTACTGACTCCTGAGATTATACTTATTAGAGTAAAGACATTTTAATAATGTATTCTTACTCAATAACTATATAAATTAATAATTAATAAATACATACATTAATATTAGTGTTGATTTTTCCTTCTACATTAATAGGAGATGGTTTTTCTATTTTTTTCTTTTTTGAACTTTGTTCAGAATTTATTACTGAATTTGATCTTTTTAATAATGTTGTTGATGTTTTATCTAGTTTTTTATTAGTTTGCCGTGTATGTCTAACAGTAGTTGGAGTTTCTAAACACAAATTTGATATTTCTTCACCAATAATACCAGCAGAACTTTTTTGAACTGAATTCAATTTACTCTGTAAATTTATATTTTAAAATTTGAAGTACAAAATTATTTGTTTCTTATACTCTATTTGTGTTGAGAAAATGTTGACTTATATATATACATTATTTCTGTCTTAAATAATATGCATACAATATCAGATGTAGCTACTGAATTCTTACTATAGCTTAAGTACAGTTAATATAAGAGAAAATATATATATTATTCAAATTTAAAAATGAGCTGCGCTTAATTTAATTTATACGTACAAGCAAAAAATGTTTTAATGAAAATTTTTATTGTTATATAAAATTATATTGTCATATTATGTGATAATAATAAAACAAATTGAGTGATATGAATTTGAAATTATTCGAGTACTCATAAGTTAGAACTCATTATAAAAGTAAAAATATAAAAGAAAATTCTTTACTCAAGCAGAATTCATATTCTCCAATTCAAATTTAATAACACATAAATTAATTTGCTCTATTTTTTCTTTTTTTTTTTTATTGATCTTATTTAAACAGGGCAACTAAAACCATTAGTTAAGCATACAGTAGGTTTTTTTTGTGAAAAGTTTGTTTGAGAGATTTTTGTTTATATTGGAACAGGTGTGTGTATGTGTGTACACCATGAATTCATCACTAAGATTCCTGATGGTCACCCATCCAAGAGCTAGTGACGCCAGCCGATGCTTAACTTAAGAACACATCAGTGACTACCAGGCCACAAATTTGTTCCAATATTAACTATAAATAAAGTGTAGTAAAAATCCAGTGCAAAGATTTTCTTTGTTATGAATGTGTAAGACAGAAACAACACACATAGGTATGACTTTATCTTAAAAATAAACCCTGGCAGCAAATTTGTACACAAGAGTATTGCTTCACTATATATCAGATATACAGTTATAAAAATGATTGACTTTCAGATGACATAACAAACAATTGTTGCCAGCCTGCAGTCTAATAAATTTTGTTTGCCACCTAGGTCATTACTTAATATTAATGAAGTTTAGTGCATACCTCATTTACAACTTTGTCTTTAATATTGTTTTTAAGGTTGTCTGATGTGCTTGTTTTCTCATCAACCGTAATATCTGAATTTTTTAATTGAGACTTAGTTATTAGTATAGAATCAGCTGTTGATGAAATATTCACCAAATTTGAATTGATCTATAACATTGAATAAAAATCTAAACATTTATTAAAACAAATATAACATGTTATTTCATATTAATACTTTATCAATTCCTTTTTTGTGATCATTAGTTGTATTTTTAACAGAATTATGTTTTAGAAAAGTTATAAAATCATTTTGATTATTTTCCTAAATATTTAAAAAACATCTAATTTAATAATGTAGTGGTCAGAAATATTAAAAACTAAAGAATAAAAAATATGAATATAAATTATAAAATATGCATGAAAAAAATGTAAAAAAAGCATAAGTATGGGCAATTTTTATCTTTAAGTCATTAGTTGAATTTTTAGGATGAATATTGTTTTGGAAAAGTTACTTTTGGCAATATTATCATTTCATTTTCAGTATGATTTGTCTAAAATATTTTGGTATAATTTGCTGTTACTAATATTTAATAAGCTATAATCAATAATACCATATCAACTTCTTTCTTGTGACCATTTGAACGTTCGGGGGGAGTATCATGTTTTGAAGAAGTTAAACCTGACAATCTTGTTCTTTTATTTCGAATGTTTTTTACCTAAAATATTTTAATATAATTTTCTGTTACTAATACTTAATATATTATTAAATAATTATAAATAATACCATATGAACTTCTTTCTTGTGATCATTAGGTGAACTTCCAGGAGTATTATGTTTTGGAGAAGTTAAATCTGACAATGTTATTCTTTTATTTTGAGTATTATTTACCTAAAATATTTCAATATAATTTACTATTTGATAATATTTAATTAGCTAAAATGCAATAATAAATAATACCATATCAACTTGTTTCTTGTGATCATTACATGAATTTCCGAGAGTATCATGTTTTGGAGAAGTTAAACCTGACATTGTTATTTTTTTATTTTGAGTATTATTTACCTAAAATATTTTAATACAATTTAAAATTTGATAATATTTAATAAACTAGAATGTAATAGTAAATAATACCATATCAACTTCTTTTTTATGATCATTAGATGGACTTCTGGGAGTATTATGTTTTGAAGAAGTTAAACCTGACAATCTTATTCTTTTATTTTGAGTATTTTTTACCTAAAATATTTTAATATAATTTACTGTTTGATAATATTTAATAAACTTGAATGCAATATTAAATAGTACCATATTAACTTTTTTCTTGTGATCATTAGGAGAACTTTCGGGAGTGTCATGTTTTGGAGAAGTTAAATCTGGAATTATACTTTTATTTTGAATATTA